ATGTGCCTAGTAATATGTGTCTAGTGGTTTTAACAGATTCTCTCATTTAAACTTCACATCAACCTTATGAGGTGGATGCCTGGTTCAAGGTCATGTGACTAGTGAGTTGTATATCCAGGTTTTCCTCTGCCAGAGCTCATGGTCTTGACCTCTGGGCTCTACCTCCTCCCCAAGGAACATGGCAGAGCAAGCTGATTTAAGTAGGAAGATGACAGATTCATTTTTGTACATGATGGGGTTTCAAGGTTCTGTGGGACACCCAATCAGAGGAGACAGCTGGGCATATGGCTTTGGAGCTTACGAGAGAGTTCACTCAAGGAAAGGGGATGTAAGAATAAGAAGAACCAAAGTGGGTTTTGTGAGAGTCCTGTCCTGGGGATAAGTAGAGTTACAGGTTGATGGAAAAAGGGAAACATGCAAAGGAAAAGCAGAAGAGATCAAAGAGGAAGTTGTTGAGACCCTTACCAGGTTCAGGGGAGTCATGGAGGGTGAAGCCAGAGAGAGTGATCCAGGGAGGAGATGGGAGACAGGAAAGCTGAGGCAGCAAGCGTTAACTACTCTTTCAGAAATAGTGATGTAACAGGCAGAACGAATGCACTGCTTGGAGTTTTTAAAGCTGGGGATACTTTGCTTTGTAAATGGAAAAAAAATGAGGAAGTACAGGTTAAAAATAATCAATAAAAAGCAACCAATATTTGCTTACATATGTACTTTGTAGATTGTGCACAAGCATTTTAATTTGTTATTATTAGAAAGTCGTATGGCTGATTAGATAAATAATCAGCCTTAACATCGTAATACCATCCTCCAGATGGTTACAACCCCTCTGCACAAGCTGGCAAGTGTGACTCGACAGGGTTTCAGGCCCCTATGCCTCCTCACCCGGATGCCCTTCGTTAGTGAACGACTTGCACACCTTTTAGAATGTAGACTCTACATTCAGGAAACCACCTTATAACCTAGAGGAACTTGGAGGACATTATGCTGAGTGAAATAAGTCAATCATAGAAGGACAAATACCATGAGTTCATTATTGTAAAAAGTCAAGAAGAGGTTTACACAGTGAAGGAAATTTTCTTTGTTGGTTACCAGGTATGGGAGGGGAGGGAAAAGGAGGGACAGAAATAAAGAAAGAAAAAAAAAAAAACAAACCCCAAAGATTCTGATTCAGTATATCTGGGGTGGAGAAGCAAATTCTCAGTAGGGAATGAGTGAACTGGTTTGAAGCCCTGCTTTTAACAGTGCCTGGCACAATAATCTGGGTATATGTTGTATTACTTTTACTATATTTCAACACATTTCATTCTCCAAACAATTTTCGGAGATAGGTACTATTGGTAGCCTCATTTTACAAATAAGGAAACAGGCAATGAGAAGTTAAGCAATGTGCTTAAAGCCACACAGCAAAGGCAACCCAACAAGTATCCCAACCCAGGCAGTCTAGGACCAAAGCCTATGATCTTAACTGCTATTGGCCACTGCCTTTTCATTGGCTAACTGGAAAGTCTTAAACAGATGTGTAGCTAGCTTAGCCGTAGATACAATCTAACACTACCCCTGCTGGAAAAACAGAAAACTCAAGTTATATTTTGTTTTGAAATTCAGCAAAACCCTGGTAAACCTAGGTATTACTCATCCTTGAGGATAATGTCTCAGATAAAAAAAGACAACATAAAACGAACCACAAAGACATGTTTAACTAATAATGCTTAGCAATATTCAAGAGAGCTGTACAGATTTAATACTGAGGAGGGGCATTTCCCCAAATACTAGTTAAATGACAAGATGGTGATATATATATATATATGAAAATAGCCACAGGGGCCCTTAACATGAATTGTTCAGGTTGATGGTCAAAAGGATTAAAATACATTGGAGTAGGTTTTTTTTGTTGTTGTTGTTGCCACCCAAGAAGTTAAAACATCAATTTCAGGGAAGCATAACTTGTAGAATGTTAGTTACACAGGTTGACATTCTGGCTCTTTCATAGTTTTATGAAGCTTTTCAACCGAAACAGGAAGGTATAGTTCCGATGCATTTATTTAAAAAATGATAAGCAATTAAAACACATAATATTGGTGAGGCAAGGTAGGTATTTACCGACAAGAAATCTAAATGCTGGTTCCGCTTCAGGTCCTAGAATCTTAATCTTGTGGAAGATGGGGAATGTGACTCCATAGTTCATTCTTGCGAAAGATTCTACTTCCTTGCTTGGGCGTGGCTCCGAGTCTCCAAACTGATTGCACGGGAAAGCCAAGACGCTGAAGTGGAATGGTCCAAAATCTTTGTACAATTCCTGCAGTGCTAAGTAATTTCTGTCTGTGAGTTGGCAGTCACTAGCCACGTTTACAACTAGTGAAACCTCCCGGAAAAAGAAAAAAATCCAACCGGAAAGTGAAGCAAATAAAAGATTACAAACAAGATAGAACCAAAAAACTCCAAGTAGTTAAAAACCTAAACCACTTTGAGGGAATACAACTTCTGATAAGTGGTTGTTTTGTATTTTTAGACATAGCCAATATTATTAAAAATCACAACCTTGATTATCAAGTCAGATGCCTGACTTAAGAACCTGAAAAATCACTGCCATAAAGAAACATCAGATACTCAACCAAGTTAATTTTAAAACATAACATAATATGGTCACTGACAGCATGCCTTTGAATGTTGTTAGACCATGCATTAATACTTTTGTTAATCTCTCCATATACACATATGCATATAAGCGTTTTTTTAAACATCTTGAAGTATTTAATTCAACACAAAGTAAAACATTTCCAAGAAAATTAAATGGTCAGACTTTTATCAAAAGTTTATACACGATCAGAGCTCTGATAACTAAAGTGATATACTGGCAATATTATTGAAGGCTAGATTCTGACATGACCAGTTAATAGGTAAAATCGATTATATTAAACGAACCAATAGAGACCACAGAGAAAACAATCAGAAGATGTACTTACTTTTCCTTTAAACTTTCCCAGAGAAACGATTCTTCCGTTTGCATCCTTCACTTCAAAGGCATACAAGCTGTTGATTCTGGGTTTTAGGAATTTTAGTTGTAAAAGAAATAGCAATACTGTGCATAGAACCATAGACAGAAGAACTGCAAATACCTTTGCTTTGGGCCCCGAACATTTTAAAGAATAAGCTGCAAGAGGCTCCATTTTGGATGATTCTACAGGGAATGCTCAGCAGGCTGGAATTCAAGGAGGAGCTGAAACTTGAAACCGGTTCAGTTTAACGGAAAACCAGGACGGACAGACTAGCTCTTGTCACTGCTAAGGACTAGAAAGACCCTTCCTAGAAGGGAAATGGCGTGAAACTCCTGAATGAAACAAAGAGAGCTAAGTAGTTACAATGTATTTGTGATATCAATCGCAATTGTTGCTAGAAAAACCAGAACGTTTTTTGGTAGCTCTTTAACATACTCCAAACAGAAAATATTTTACCAGAAGATGGCGCTCTTGTAACTTGAAAGCGGTGAAGTACTTGGTAGTATGGTAAGCATCTTTGTGTATTTATTGAGCAATTGGTTGGATTTAGAGGATTGGGTATAAATACCCAGGAATAGTTCAGAATGTAGATTAAATGTGATAGATTAATATGATGCATAACCTGAGGAATTTATTATTATGTGTCTGGAATAAATATGCCATATGAGTTCAAGGAATTTATAGTGTAAAGAACAATGAGATGCCTGAAAAGCTATCCAGTGCCAGGTGAATAAAGTAAAAATAAATAGATTGAAAACAATTCACGCTTTACAAAACCCTCCTGTATCATAACACAAACTATAAGAAAAAAACCCAAAAAACTCAAACTCACTGCCCTCGAGTGGATTCGACTCATAGTGACCTCTCTTTGGATCTCCAGGTGGCGGTAGTGCCTAGGCATTTGACTGCTAACCAGAAGGCTGGCGGTTCAAACCACCAGCCACTCCTGGGAAGGACGGTTGGGTAGTCTACTTTCCTAGAGATACCAACGGCACATAACAACAACAAGGAAGTAGATTGCCCAATCTTCCCTCAGAGGAGTGGCTGGTGGGTTTGAACTTCCAGCTTTCTGGTTAACATTCACATGCCTTAGGCACTGCACCACCAGAGCTCCTAGTGCTTTTTTCAATTTTTTTTTTTTATCATGACCAGTAAGAAATGCACTTTACAATAAATAAACCAAATATAACCGAGTACACACACATACACACACACGTACACACACGCACTCACACAATACACAAGAACACGTATGACTGAGAAGTTCAATGAAACAGTACTTCCACTTCTAACTTTGATGCACCCCGATCTACTGCATTTTTTAAGCAGCCTGATTCTGACCCACTGAAATACAACCTGAAGATGAACTCTATAATCAAATAGGAAATTTAACAGTTAAGTATAGTAATTATACCAAATAAAACCCCAAAACTCTTCACTTGGGTGCAGGAGCTGATTTTTTTGTTTCCATGTAAATATCTTTATTTTTCCTTGGGCTGTGGCCAGCCAAAGGAGTCCTAGCTTTGCTGTTGCTAAAGGGCATGAATTTTAAGGGTGGGTAAGGGTGAGGTAGTTGAAGATTGCAGGTCCTAAAACTCACAGTTTCTTTAGTCACCTTAGAACTGGTCCTGTTTAAGACACGTGACAAGTTCTGAATTGAGATACTTTGTTCTACTTGGGCTCAATGGTTGGGGTTATAATATGTTCCAAAAAGTGCCAGGAAAGTCCATGGATGAGCAAAGCAGCTCATGGCTGTGCCATTCCCACTGTGTTAGGTTGGTGGAGCTTCAGAAGATGTGTAAGGAGCCTGTCCAGCAACTCCAGTAGTTGCCCCTGTGGTGGTGGTGGTGGTGCTGGTGTTGGTATGGGGGGTGGAGTGGTGGTGGTGTGGAAGGGTGGGGAAGTCAGTGTGGGGGAGAATGAGAGGTCAGTGTGGGGTGTGGTGGTGGTGATGGTGTTGGGGGTGGAGGGGTGAGGGGGTGAGAGGATAGTTGAGCAAGGCCCACAGCTTAGGCTGTACAACCTGTAGGAGACAGATAACCCATCTTATTCTCACTCTCATGGCCTGATAGGAATGAAAAAAGATTATGTAGAAAGTATTCCCTTTGAAACATAATTTCTAGTATCCTACCCACTGCCATCAAGTCAGATCTGACTCATAGCAACCCTTCCTTGGGTTTCCAAGGCGGTATCATTTGAAAGTAGATTGCCCAACCTTCCTTCTGAGGAGTGGCTGGTGAGTTTGAACTGCCAGCCTTCTGGTTAGCAGTCAAATGCCTTAAGCACTATGACACCAGAGCTCAAAATTTCTAGTATAGAACAAAAATATGCACAAATATCACTTCTGAACTGTGAACTTTGTTGTTCTCTGGCTGAGTTGTTTAAAAGCCAGAGTCCCTGGGTTTGTATTGCACATGAACACTGCTTTGTTGCTTCAACTCTACTGATTCCTGGGGCTGCAGCATTGCTATCACCTGGGTGCTTGTTAGAAATGCGGACTCTTAGGCCCACCCCAGACTTCCTGAATCAGAATCTGCATTTCAATAAGATCCCCAGGCGGTTCATGTGTGCTTTTATGTTTGAGAAGCCTAGCTTTAGGCCTTAATTCTGCCTTTGATTTGTCTTTGTCTTTGATAGTGGAAATATTTCATGGCTCTGTCTACAATAGCTATTTTAACTAACTCCTTAGACTGTCTAAGCTAAGGGCTCAGAAATTTGAGTTTTAAGACTTAACTCATACAACACTTGTTGTCATGTGAACCCTGTCACCTCATCTCATTGTTATTGTTCTTTGAGATGAGGGCGACAGGGTGGTGACCTCTGGGAAGGAAGTTGGCTACCCCTTAGGCCAGGCCTCATTGGATGATATTATTTTGATAAAAGTATGATAATAATTTTTAGTCATTGTTTTGTTAAGTACAGAAACTTACCTCAAGTGTTTTACCAAGAGTTGAATGGACTTGGAAAGGCCAACATTATGCTGTTCATACTTGCAAAGGATTGCCGTATAACCCAGAATGCCGGTTTTATAATCAGGAATAGTTGTGCAGTCCTGATATTCCAGTTGGTTTGGCCAGAAAATTCATTCTACATGAAAAGTACTTTGAAAGCTTAAGCAAGTCCAGAATGAAATCAGAGCCAGTTCATTAATGTAATGATTCTTAAAAGTTTCAAAGAACAAAAGCATGATACATAAATTTCTATACAGGTCCATTAATGGAGCATTCAAGAAAATAGATTATTTTGTTCACAATAATTCTTTGAAACTGGAAAAAGTTAATAACTCATCCAAGTTCAGAGAACTCATAAGTGAAACTGGCAAGGGTAGAGTTTAGGATTTTTGACTTTATAACCATTTTTCTTTTTCCAACTACATTCAACTATTTCTCTGCAATAGGTTAATACTTGGAAGAAAACACGGTAGGCGAGATTGCTCTAGTACTCTGGTGAAAGAGTTTTATTTATCAGGAGACAGTTTTGTAAGAAATCATTCTAAGGTCCCAACGAGGAGAGGGAGTGGAGAACAGCAACAACAAAGCATGGTCATGCATGTATAGTGAAGTTACCTGGAAGGGGTCCAGGAAGTCTGCAGAGTAACAAGTCAAGAAAAGAGATGACAGGGCCTTAGTCAAAGGAATAGAAGGAGAGGATAGATGGTAAAGACCTTCTGGAGCCCCCAGCGGTAGGGGTTGGCAATGGAGAATCAAAGAAACGCCTACCTAAAAATGATCTGGACAGGTTTTGCTTGGTTTGTATTACCTGCTAGGATTCAGAGGCACTGGATGTTCAAATAAGACATGAGCAATTTGGTCTTCATGATTATCTTAGTTACCTACTGCTACTGGGGCAAAAAACAAAAAATAAACAAAACTACCCACAGGTGGGTGGCTTTAAAGAAATTTATTTTCTCACAGTTCATGAGGCTGGAAGTTCAAATTGAAGGCATGCTCCAGGGGGAGGTCTTTACTTGTTCGTAACTTTAGGGGTTCCTTAAAATTTCTTTCTTCTTTTTTCTTTCTTTCTTTTTAAATTTTTAATTGTGATTTGGTGAAAGTTTAAAAAGCAAATGCACTTTCCATACAGCAGCTCACACACACTGTCTCACGATACTGACTACAGTTTCCTACAGTGCAATAGCTCGCCTCCCACTTCCTCCCCATAGTTACATCTTCCCTGTGTCCTTCCCTCCCATGCGCTCCTACCCCCTGAGCTGTCTCCCTGTGCATACACAGCCCTTCTACTCTCCCATGATTGATTTCTCCAAGGAGTGTATCTACCTAATGTAAATATTCAGCTCATATGCCTGTCTATTGTTTGGCTGGAAGCCATAGGAGTGGGTTCAATTCCAGACTTGAAGGGCACCTAGGGGCCATAGTCTCAGTGGTTCCATCAGGTTCCATCAGACCAGCAAGCTGGTGCACCCCCCCCTTTTTAAAATGAGTTTGAGTTTTGTTCCACGTTGTTCTCCCACTCTGTCCAGGATCTCCTACGTAGATTCCCCTCTGAGTGGTTGAAAGTGGTAGCCGGACACCATCTAGTTCTTCTGGTCTCATAGTCGTATAGGCTGAGGATAGCATAGTGTACCAGTCTCTTGGACTAATTATTTCCATACGTCTTTGGTTTTCTTCATTCTTCTTTGCTCTGGACAAGGAGAGACCCATCATTGCATCCAGATGGGCGCTTGCAAGCTTTTAAGATTCCAGTTGCTACTCACCAAAATAGGAGGTGGAACAATGTTTTGTGTAGTATGTTATGCCAATTGAGCTTGATGTCCCCTGTGACTATGGTCCCGAGCCCACAGGTCCAACTACTCGCTCCCTTTGGGTAGGTGACTGTGGCCAAGAAGTGACTACTAACTTGTCTGTTGTCAGCTCTACTATATACCTAGGAATTCTTACAGAACATACAAATATACTTATAGAAACATTGTCTGCCAACCCTATACATGATCTTGGGCACACTTCCCTGTGCATAGACATACCTAATAGTTCAGCCTGTCTACCTGCCTACCCATCTATCCACCTGTATATTAATGTTTGCAAAAGGGTTCATCTTTGTTATCTGTACCTCCCGTGCACCTCTCCCTCTCCTTGCCTTCCTCTTCCTCAGTGCTACCGTGTTGATCACTTACATTTGGTACATTGCCCTTCTCTTCAACCAGATCAATACTTGTCTCTACCTATCACGGTGTTCCCTCCCCTCCCCTCCCACCCCTGGTAACCAACAAAGAAAAATTCCTTCCATAT